CTATACAGATTTGATCATAAGCAAGATATGAAAAAGTGAAACTGATTATTTTTCTACCATACTCTATTCCTGTCACTACAGACCAGTAAGATTTACATTTCTAAAAGCTTTACATTTCAAGAGATCATGGAATTATATGACCATGCCAAAGCTTTACAACCTGACATAAGTTAACAACAACAAAAAAAGAGAAATACCATATTTGGATATTTGGGGGTTTTTTAATCAAAGACAGAGATGTGTGGTTTTTAAAATCGAACCTGATAAAGTGTACGCAATCAGAATTACCAACTGCCACATAAGAATAGGAACTGTTAAATATCACCATCTCTTCATTCTGTGAGCCACTAGGTTGTTCTGAAAGCTAGTCCTCTTTGCATTGTGCTTTACTGTAAGTAAAAGTTACCTCAGAGTTCCAAAATTAGGAGTTTTTTTTCTTTGACAAATCAAACTCGACAAAAATACTGAATATATTAATAATTCTGGCCAACAAAGATAACAAAATAAGCTTATTATATATGTGTTGCCTCTCAGCTTGTATTAATTCAACGGGTGACAGGTATCCTTACAAAGAAGTGTAATTTCATCTGAGCAGTAGATCCTGAGAAAGCACTTATCCATTGTTGGCAAAACATTTAGTTCCCTACTAAATTATATATAACCCTCTAAAATTTTTTTCTGAAGAACTCTGATAAGTAGGCTGTCCTCCACACTCACAAGGAATTGCTTCTAAAGAAACAGAATCCACAAGTTTACATAACGACAGTGGAGAGTCCGAAGGTGAGGAGCCCAGATGAAGTCCTTACTTTTTCTCAATTGGCATGTGGTTTCTTGTTCAATCTCCTCCTTTCCTCTTTTCTTCTTTCAATCATATAGGGAAGGAGGGATGAATTTAACCTCCTGTAGTGAATGTTAGGAGTCGGACTAGAGGGGCGTCTGGGTGGCTCAGTCGGTTAAGCGTCCGACTTTGGCTCAGGTCATTGATCTCACAGTTTGTGGGTTCGAGCCCTGCATTGGGCTCTGTGCTGACAGCCAGCTCAGAGCCTGGAGCCTGTTTCAGATCCTGTATTTCCCTCTCTCTCTGATCCTCCCCTGCTCACACTGTCTCTCTCTCTGTCTCAGAAATAAATAAAAAACGTTTAAAAAAATTAAAAAAATAAAATAAAATAGAGTCGGACTAGAAGAGACAAGACAGCCTAGTTAAACTAACTTGCTTGACTTGTGTTTCCTTACTGAAGACTGACAGATGCAGAAATTGGTATCAGGAGTGGGATTCCCGAAAACAGACCTCAAAGGACTTGGGTATTGGTTTGATTTGATCCATAATGCCACATCACCATTAATCAAATTAATGCTGACTGTGGATTATAACAAAGTATCCACTGAAGAAATGCCTTAAGGGACCAAGTGGCTGTCACATTTGAGTTGGGCAGAAATGAGGAGTATAAAGACTGTGGTATGGCACGGTTTCTGAATGCACTGAAGCACTCACTGAAAGAAAATGACAAGCTTGGGTCTTTAAACATTCAGCTCCCATTTATGAACAGAGAACGTCAATGGCAGTCCTAATAGAAACCTCCACGTCTTATAGCCACAGAGCTCACCTTGCTCACGTCGGATTTAACTATGCCACTTGGACAGTAATAATGTAAGCTGACCTCCACAGACTCACCATGTCTCACGTATGAACGTGAAAGCACTGAACGAGACTTGGGATGGGGATATCTGGGTGAACTCAGCTGAAGCCAAGGATCTTGAACCCCCAAGCTATTGAGAGCCTTCCTTGCCAGTGGAAATAGAAATAGCCTGATCATCTGTGTCTGAGGAGATTACCTTTCCCCAGGCTGAGCAACCTGCACCTACCTCATGATAACTCTTAAGGGCAGTTTTCTTGCAGGAGAATTCCTCTTCTCCTCAAGATCAAGATCTCTTACTGTTACGCGGGGTAAGCTCACAACATTCTTTGGGGAATAAGTAAGTATAAAGTCTGATACATGAAGTAATAACTTAATACACAAAAATAATTGCAAAAGTTGGCTAATTTGTGTTGGTAGATACCCAGGAAATCTGTGTGAGGATGATTTTTGGAGTGATTCTAAGAGATCAAAGAAAACATAATATAATGCCAGATTGGGATATTTTTAAAAATATGAATCACTTACCAGATCTTTAAGACTTCCTGGTTAGTATATGCAACTGGAAGGGCCCCTAAGAGTTAAGTTGGCTGGCTGACTGAGACCCGGACTCCATGACAGCCTTCCACTTAGGAAGACTGGGAGGCCCCAACTTCCCTGTCATAGCATAAGAGGCAGAAACCCAAAGGCTCAAGAGAACAGGTATATTGGAGTGGATTTATCGTGTGCAACTTGCACACACAACCCATCCACCACCACACTCCATTAGAGGGCCCAGTGGATTCTCTCTTCACTAAGTCTCCAGCTTCATAACCGAAGTGCCATTATCTGGGCAAAAGGTTATTAGTCGGGCCCTTTAACACCCCATCAGTCACGGAATTCACCACGTTGCTAGAAAATAAGAACCTCTCCATGTTCTCCCCCCTTGTTTCTTCTATGGCACTATTACAAACTCCAAGTATTTAAGTTATTTGTCTGGTTTGTTCTGTTTTGTTTGCTTTTTTTTTTTTTAACCTATTTTTCTTTCCTCTATCTCCTCGACTAGCACATAAATTCCATGAAAGCAGAGACGCCTCTATTATGTTCACCAGTTCACCACTGTATGCCGACTGCCTAGCACAGTACCTGGTGCGCAGGCACTCAAGAAGGATGTGTTGAAGTCATAAACAGTTGCTCTTTGTCCACATTAAATTCTGGTCCTCCTTTCTCATGGAATAGATATGTTCCCAAAAACACTATCCTCCCAAAGAGAAGATTTACATGCGAGTTAAAAACTAGCACAGGCGTCTACAATCTCCTCTTTGTATTTCTTCAGCTTAGAACCACTCCTCTTTGTATTTCTTCAGCTTAGAACCAGCGACCTGGTCTGCTGATACCACCTCTTTCATTCATTTATATGATGCCCAGAAAAACATAATAAAGGTCAATCCAGTGTGTCACCATCTGTCCCTTCATGAGAATGTTTGAACTGGATCCTGTCTTTATCCAGAACATCTCTGCCCACAGTCACATGTCACTTCACATCACAAGTTAATAAATTCTCAAATATCATTAAACTATACGTGACTTGTTGAGCAATTTTTGTACAAGCTGGAGCACTTTCGCAAAGACAGTCATGAGGTAGTTTTTACTTGTTTCTGTATCAAGTAGATGGTGTACTCCTTCAGATCACAGCATTTCAAAATTCAACATTCCATTTAATCAAAGGTTCTGTTTTCCAACTATGAACATTTACTTCTAGCACCCAATAGATGCTTTCATTAGCTACCAATTTTACCCACACACATGCACAAACACATCATTTTTATCACTATAAGTGTTCATTATTCACATGATCACAGGTAACTAAGAAGGAAACAGTATTAAGATCTAGGCAATATGTTATATGTTAAGTTCAACTATTATCTAACTTAACTGCCTCAGGCTCCTTAGCGCCATGGCTTACTTCATATTCACACCTTAGCAAAAATGCAAAACACTCTATGCCTTAGACCTTCAGGCCTGTGTTAACGTGGTTCAAACCTTCAAAGTTAAAATCTTTAAATGCCAAACAAAGACACAAAGAGCTGTGCTCCCAGCAGTGTTTAAAAAATTATTTAAAAAAAAAAGAGACTTAACATATTTACACACAATGTTATACGTCAATTATATCTCAATGAAAAAAAAAACAAATCCAGTAGAACTCCTCTCTCATCTGAAAGACTAGGACCAGTTTGTTACGTGGCTACTCACAGAAGTTAGTTAAACCAAGAATCCTAGAGAATGATAAGTATACATGTAACCATCTTATTTAATTTAAACTGTGTATAAATGTAATTCATTCACCAGTTCTCTGTGCGGGACCCCTGCCTTACATCTTAGTTGAGATCTGCTGACTGGTATTCCAGTCTCTCCTGCACAACCCACGCCCGTAGTGCATCATTTATGACTGCAGTTTTCAGTTTAAAGTGCAGCAAAAATTTCAACACAGATGAAACAATCGGAGAGCAAATTTAGCCAATTTCTTACTATCATTTTTTCCCATTATTTTACATTTGTCTTGTTCACTCCTAATTTGACAGGCAATTTTTGAAAGAACTCGCCTTTCTCACTTTTTCTCAGGGCATTCAAATTAGTTTTCGTAGCAACAACTCCCCTTTTTAAAGCAAATACTGCATCAGTTTGCAGAACATTAAATAACAAAGGCACTCGGCATAAGTTTGGGAACGCGCTTGGCTGACTCTTAAAGCAAATAATTTGACTCATGGGGGTAAAAGCGTACAAGCATCACACTGAGAAGCCTACTGGCTGCCAACAGCACACTGGGGACCATCAGGATGTGCTACCAAGGAAATCGACACACGGCTTTATCCACCTGCTTGGTTAATTAGACATCAGTTCAGAATCTTTGCTATACAGTAATTCAGGTCTCCAGCATTGCTGGCTAAGAAAAAAGCTCAGAAGATTCCCCTCCACATGTAGATAGGCTGCCTTTTATATTTTTCTTCAATTATATATGATATACATTTAGAGACAATGATGTCAAAGAGTTAAAAAAAAAAAAAAGCAAGAATACTGAAATAAAGCAGCAGAAAAGGAATTCAGGTGTTTAAGTAGAGCATGATAAAATAATCAGAGATTCTGATTCCTAACAGCAACTAATTGAGTCAGTAAAACACCTTTTAAGGAAATTTTAACAGTTCCATATGAATTTGAAAAAAGAACTGATAACCCATTTAAAAACATCCCTTCAACAACATAAGAAAAAAGCTTTCGGAACTATAAATAAATATCAGTGCCAGATACCTACATGAAAACATTCACCTTAGATTAGCTGTATTCCTTTTGTAAACATGAAAGCAGGAGACAGTGTGAGGAGATACTTACTTATCTCACTGGAAACTTGATTCAGTTTATCTTGTGATCTGCTGATAAGGACAATCTTCATTCCATGTTTTGCTAACTGAAACAATTAAAAACAAACAAACAAACACGGAACAGTTGAATCACAGCTGTACATTTCATTAAAAGACAGATATCAGATATATTCTCATTAAAAAAAAACTTGATCATATGATATACCCAACTAAAAAAACCAATAAACCCAAGTGGTAATAAATGGACAAATCAAATGAAGACTTTACAAAAGGAATCCCCGTAGGGGTATGAAGCAAGTATATAAACATCAAAGTGTCTCATAAGGAGTAAGATTTTTTTACTTTTCATTTTGTACCCTTCTACACTGCGTCAGTTTTTTTAAATCATAAATATCTATTACTTCTATTATTTAAAAGCTAGCTTTAGGGGCGCCTGGGTGGCTTAGTCGGTTAAGCGTCCGACTTTCGCTTAGGTCATGATCTCGCGGTTTGTGGGTTCGAGCCCTGCATCGGGCTCTGTGCTGACTGCCAGCTCAGAGTCTGGAGCCTATTTCAGAATCTGTGTCTCCCTCTCTCTCTGACCCTCCCCTGCTCATGCTGTCTCTCTCGCTTTCCTAGAAATAAATAAAAATATTAAAAAAAAAAAAAGCTAGCTTTAAAAAAGATTTTGTTTTAAACTGGATACATAAAGACTGGAAGATGGGCAAAGAAAACTACAGTTAATATGGTATAAATTCCTAAAACTAGAAGACATTTTTAAAACTTTTATTTAGGCCTGATACTTCATGGACAACAAAGGCAAACTAAAGTAGTTAATTGTATAAAATAAAGAATTTCCTGAAAAACACCTGTGTGTAGACACAGAACTATATAAGTGCTATATAAACTGAGTAAGATATATAGGAATGTGGTTTCAACCCCAGAAACACATAAATAGAGAAGCAGAGGAAGACACACTGATACATATGAAACTTTTTAGTGAACTATTCCAAACTGTATATAAATGAACAATAAATTAGGTACTTAAACTAAAAGTAATTCAGTACACAGATATTCCAGTCCTGAATCCTAAAGTCAGTTTTTATTAATGAGCAGTTTCATAAATGAGAAAATATAGAAAAACATTTTTATTATTATAACAAAGGTTAGTAATAATTTGCTAAATTAATCTGCTATAAAACCACTAAAGAACCCATGAGTCCATGCTAACAATTAAAGAAAAAAATTAACAAAGGAGGAAGGACAAATAAGAGTTATTTATAGAAAAGAAGCATCTAATAAATGTAGAAGGAAAGATATCATTACAAAACTAACCAATTTTTTAACCACCATGGTAATAACTAATTTAGGAAAAAACTGTCAATGGATGTTAAAACCACTGGACAAGAGATTGCTGGGAAATGGGATATTTTTTTCATACAGTCTCAAAGTATCACCCCACAGAATCTATATTAATTACAAAGGGGTAAAAAGTACCTTCATAACAGAGAATGGTGGTAGACAGTACCTTAATAAATGATTTATCTTAACATAATCAATAATGGGACAACACAGTTCTTATGGCTCCTCATAAAATGAACTCAGAAAGATAAAATACTATCTGGGTAGCATTTCTGCTAAAAAAAAAAAAAAAAAAAAGGCTAACCTGAGCTAATCACAAGGAAAAAATCTGAGAAACCTGCAAAACAACTGGCCTGTATTTTTCAAACATGCCATTGTTACAAAAGAAAAAAAATGTTAAAGCTAGGAAACTTCTAGTCAAAAGACATGACACCTAGATGCAATGTATAATCCTTAAGTGAATCTTGAACCAAAAAGAGCTATAAACCTGGCTGGTTCAGTTGGAAGAGCACATAACTCTTGATCTCAGGGTCATGAGTTCAAGCCCCATATTGGGTGTAGCGAGTAAACCAAACAAATAAAAAGAGCTAGAAAGAACATTACTGAGACAATTTGGGAAACTTGCATATATAGGTTTTATATTATATAATAGTGTTGTATCAAGTTAAACTTCCTATATGTGACCATTGTATTGTGGTTAAAAGGGTGAATATTCCAGGGTTTTTTCAATGTTTATTTATTTTTGAGAGAGAGACAGAGTGGGAGTGGGAGGGAGAGAGAGACGGAGACACAGAATCTGAAGCAGGCTCCAGGCACTGAGCTGCCTGCACAGAGCCTGACGTGGGGCTCGATCCCAGATCAGTGAGATCATGGCCTGAGCCAAATTTGGACACTCAACCTACTGAGCCACGCAGGTGCCCTGTGGATGTTCTAGTTAGTAGAAGACCCATGCTGAAATCTTTAAGGGTGAGTTGTTATGAGGTCCGTAACTCACAAATGGTCTTGGCAAATAATACTAATTTATTTTTTTCAAATAATACTAATTTAAAAATAATATCAATAATAAAAGAAAGTTAAATGTGACAAATGTTAATAACTGGGTGAATCCAGGTAAAAGGTATAGAGTATTTGTTGTATTCTTGCAACTTTCCTGTAGTTTTGATACTCAAAATAAAACCCCCCTTTTTTTTTTCCGGAGATTGAAATAAAAAAAAACTTTGGGAATGACAAATAAGAAATCCAGCAGATCTACCAGGATCATCATCACGACTGGGCCATATCATAAGCTCTGGGTGCCTTCCCAGAACTAGAAGGCAGAGAGGCTTATCTTCAAAGACTACTACCAACGCTTCTGCTTAGTACAGTGGTCCTCAAACTATTATGGCTCCTATCCTTTGATGACACTCAGGAGAAACTGAACCCTCTGCCTAAGTCTGTCAGTATCTTTCTGTCAATTATAGTCCTTATTAAAAAATGATGTCATGGACTAGCCTAGAAATATAACTACTGTATAAAAGTACATCCACCTTTTGGAAAATAGTTTAGAATCATGGACTTTAAAAACTAAGGACTGTCAAGGGCACCTGGGTGGCTCAGTCAGTTAAGCATCTGACTCTTGTTGGTGTTGGCTCAGGTCACAATCTCACAGTGAGTTCAAGCCCTGCATCTGGCTCTGCATTCAGCGCAGAGCCTGCTTGGGATTCTCTCTCTCTCCCTCTCCCTCTGCCCCTCCCCAGTGCTCTCTTTCTCTCAAAATAAATAAATATTTTTTAAATAAACAAAACTAAGGACTGTCCATAATTACACAATATAAAATAAAATTACACTACATTTTTTCCAACATGCTGAGATAGTTTTATACTCACTTTTGCACAAAAATGTATTTTAAAATCGTCTTTGCTTAAGCAAACATGGTGTTTCTGATTATATGACTCTGTACACAATACAAAGTATGTGTATTGTACTATGTAACATTATATTTGTTTGTAACTTAAAACATCGAAACTACTATAAGAGACCGCCCCATATTTGTTCTTATATTTTTATGCCAAAAAGAAAGATCTTAAAAATTACCTACCTCTTCTGCGTATGATTTTCCAATTCCATCAGTACTACCTGTGACAACTGAGGAAAGAAAAAAACAGTTTAGGTGAAGAACTATAACAAGGAACCAAACATCGCTGGGACCATTCAGTTATACACAAGAGGATCCATGTAACACTTTGATGTGAAACAGGAAGCAACACTAGTGATTCAAATTTAAGACTGAATACCCGTCACGCTGGCTAAGATCTGAAAGACTGCAATACCAAGTGTTGACATGGTTGCAGAGCAACTGGAACTTTCATATATTGCTGGCGGCACTGTAAACTGATACAATCATTTTGGGGGGAAGAAAAATATTTCGTATTATGTCCAGAACTAAACATGTGCCTACTTCATGACTCAGTATTCCCAACAGGTATGAATGCATTATGTCTACCAAAGAATGTCCCTGATCTCTTTATTTATGCATAAAAGGTAAACGTGCCCAACAACTGATACATAAGAGAGTAAGTAAATTGAGTATTAGTATTTGAATACTAAACTGCAATAAATAATAACTACTGATTTACAAAAAGCATGAAATCTCCCAGGTATTATGTTAAGTGAAAAAAGCCTGACATTAAAAGTATATAAACTGTTATGATTCCATTAATGAAGGTTTAAAAAAAAAAAAAAAAGGTAAAACTAATCTGTGATGATGAAAGTCAGAATCTTGGTCACCTCTGGGTAAGGGGGTAGATAACAAGAAAGGGACATGAAGGGGCCTCTAGGGTAGAGGATATATCCTATATCTTGATTTGGGTACATTAGTTATTTCTTGACATGTATGTGTTTTAATTCTTCTATCGGATTCCAGACTCCTTGCTATAAGATGTGCACGAGGACTGTGTTCAGTAGACATTTGCTGAATGCATGAATGTTGTTCAACATTTAGTTGGTCTTACAAACTTACACATGTGACTTAGACTGTTTTCCCTGAGAACCTGGTTTTGCAAACTTCTTCACTTTACAAATACGGTAACTTACACCCTCCTAACTCCTTCTAACCTCCCTACCCAAGGTTCAGAACTTCCCATGGGATCAGTTGTGACCTCTGCTACACTTGCATAACAGTTGCAAAACTGTCCTATTCTGCTTCTGGTGCTTCCTTACACATTATTCCTGAGTGCACCCCCCCCCCCAATACACCCCCGTGCACACACATCTCAATGTCTGAGTGTTTCCTGATGAACTTTTGAGCCTGCAGTATAGTCTTCCTTAATTGTATATAGATCAAAGTAATACATGAACTTCGTTTGAAAAAGAAAATAGTTACAAAAGGTTTAAAGTCAAAAACAGCAGCATGTCACCTCATCCTTCTGCATCGTAGCACCCCATTCTGGTCCAGCTCCAGAAGTAACCATTTTCAACATTTCAGTTGGCTTTCCTTATGTTACTATCCTTGTTCTAAATCCTGTGCTCACACTGTTATCTCCTGATCCTAGCTTTAAATTACTCATTACAGTTGGTGAGAACTCCCATTCCCATTTGTCTTCCCCCTCCGTCCAATGAAGTTATATCACAAGGTTCTGTCAATGGTCAATGTGCACATTATTATAATAATGCAACTCCATTCTGACATAATCCATAGGACATGGGCCCACCAAAGCTGACCACACTTTAGGCATCAGCCACAAGTTTAAATTTTTTTTTTTAATGTTTTATTTATTTCTAGGAGAGAGAGAGAGAGACAGTGTGAGCAGGGGAGGGTCAGAGAGAGAGGGAGTCACAGACTGAAACAGGCTCCAGGCTCTGAGCTGGCAGTCAGCACAGAGCCCGACGCGGGGCTCGAACCCACGAACCGCGAGATCATGATCTAAGTGAAAGTCGGACGCTTAACCGACTAAGCTACCCAGGCGCCCCTTCAGCCACAAGTTTAGATCCCAACAAGCATCCATATTTTAACAAACTGACTACAAAAGGAAGGGTTCCCACAACTCCCCAGGTTCAGTAATCCACCAAACAATTCACAGAACTCAGGACAACTTAACAACCTGTGATTATGGCTTTTAAATAAAGGATAAAGGGGTGCCCGGGTGGCTCAGTCGGTTGGACGTCCGACTTTGGCTCAAGTCATGATCTCATAGTTCGTGGGTTCAGGCCCCGCGTCAGGCTCTGTGCTGACAGTTAGCTCAGAGCCCGGAGCCTGCTTCAGATTCTGTGTCTCCCTCTCTCTCTGACCCTCCCCTGCTCATGCTGTCTCTTTCTCTCTCTCTCGCTCAGAAATAAATAAAACATTAAAAAAAATTTAAAGGATACAAAGCAGAACCAACCAAATGAATAGCTACATGGGGTGTAGTCTAGGAGGCTCCTGAATGTAGAGCTTCCATGCCTTGCCTAAATCAAGGCACTTGACCCTTAGAGCACATCAATGTGTTCACCAATTAGGACCCTACAAACTTCAGTGTCCAGGGTTTTTATTGGGTTCATTACAAAGGCATGGTTGACCGAATCATGGACCATGTCACTGAACTCAACCTCCAATCCCCCTTCTCTCCCCAGAGGGTGGAAGGTTGAAATGATGTCACATGGCTCAAACCTTCAGTCTTCCAATCAATGGTTGGTCTTTCTGGCATGACCAGCCCCCATCTTGAAGCCATCTAGGTCCCACCATGAGTCATCTCATTGGCATAAAGTATCAGGGCCAACTGTGAATAACAAAGACAATCCTATCATTCAGGAAATTCCAAGGATTTAGATTCTCCCAGCAGAAACCAGGGATGAACGCCTGTCATATTCTTTATTGTACAACAATTAGTTTACTTTGGTTAGGCAAATATAGTATTCACTTCTGAACCAAATAGTATAGTATAATTATGTTTGCCTTCTTGGTCAACATTTTTCTTTTCCTGTAGTTAAAATTGCCTTTTTCTTCTGTTTCCATAGTTTTCTTTTTTTTTTTTCTTTTTTATTTCTAGGAGAGAGAGAGAGACAGCGTGAGCAGGGGAGGGTCAGAGAGGGAGGGAGTCACAGACTCTGAAACAGGCTCCAGGCTCTGAGCTGGCCGTCAGCACAGAGCCCGACACGGGGCTCAAACCCACGAACCGCGAGATCATGACCTAAGCGAAAGTCGGACGTTTAAGCGACTAAGCCACCCAGGCACCCCTATTTCCATAGTTTTCTTTTTAAATCTTCCCCCATTTTCTAACAGCCTCTGGATACAATTTTCCACACAATCAATCCCATGAATGTTTTCTTTTTTTCCCCAAAGAGATTACTTTCTTAGAGTCCTCCAGCTTTTATCCTGCTACCCCTTGGAATGGCTACTCTTCTGGGCAGCTACTGTTCTAGAACATAACCATGGGAATTCCCCTGGCCTCTCTCTCCTGTGTTGAAGCTCTTGTTTTCTAGATCTTGTTCTAGTCCCACATTAAGGAGCACATCCACCGGTAGCTTTCCAACAATGGATGTATAAAGACACATTTCTGTAAACATGTTTTTTTTTTTTTTTTTTTTTTATTTCTAGGAGAGAGAGAGAGACAGTGTGAGCAGGGGAGGGTCAGAGAGAGAGGGAGTCACAGACTGAAACAGGCTCCAGGCTCTGAGCTGGCAGTCAGCACAGAGCCCGACGCAGGGCTCGAACCCATGAACCGCGAGATCATGACCTAAGCGAAAGTCGGACGCTTAACTGACTACGCCACTTGGGTGCCCCTAAACATGTTTTTAAATAGAACTTTTTTATTTTAGAATAGTATTCTAGGCTTACCAAAAACAATGTGAAGGTAATACAGGATGATCCCTACACTCTAAGTCAGTTTCTCCTCTTACTGACATCTTATATTTGTCACAGTTCATCAATGAATATTGGTTCACTACAGTAGTCCCCTCTTTTCCACAGGGGACCCATTCCAAGATCCCCAGTGATTCCTGAAACTGTGGACAGTACCACATTCTATAGGTACTATAGTTTCTCCTATAAATATATACCTTTGATAAAGTTCAATTTATGAATTAGGCATAGTAAGAGATTAAAACATTAATAATAAAATAGAACAATTATAACATACTATAATAACAGCTACATCAATGTGTTCTCTCTCTCAATACCTTATTGTACTGTACCCACCCTTCTTCTTCTTATGATATGTGAGATGATAAAAGGTCCACATGACGACGTGCAGTGAATGATGTAGATTTTAGGACATAGTATCAGACTACTACTGACCTTCTGACAATATGGCAGAAGGAGGATCACCTGCTTCCAGACCACAGTTGACTGCAGGTAACTGAAACAGTGGAGAGCAAAACCTCAAATAAGAGGCAGGACGGGGTGCCTGTGTCTCAGTTGGTTAAGTTTACGACTCTTGACTTCAGCTTGGATCATGATCTCACGATTCATGGGTTCGAGCCCCAAGTCGGGCTCTGAGCTGACAGCAGAGCCTGCTTCAGATTCTCCCTCTCTCTCTGCCCCTCCCTGTTCACACTCTCTCTCAACATACATACATACATACATGCATACATACATAAATACATATATATATATATATATACATAAAAGAGGAGGGACTACTATATTATTAAGAAAAGCCTGTATCTTTTTCAGATTTTGTTACTGAATGTCCTTCTGTTCTACAATGTCATCTAGAATATCATATTTAGTTGTCATGCCTCTTCATGTGACAGTTTAAGAGACACTTTTTTGACAGTTTAGGAGAAACTTTCTGATTGTGTATATCCTTTTTTTTCTTTCAGTCTGTATTCTAACCTCACACATAACAGTTTAACTGGGCATAAAATTCTAGCAGGACATAATTTTTAACAAAAATACTGAAGATAATCTCCACTGTCTTCTAACACCAATAATGTTTAATATGTGTTTCACCATTCTGAGTTCAGATCATAAGTACCAGCTTTTTTTTGTCAATGGAGCTTTTAGGATTATCATTTAATCTTTCTCTGTCATAATAATGTATCTTTCAGTGGGGTTTTTTTCCCATTCATTTGTTCTAGGACCTAGTGGGCCTTAAAATCCATGTTCTTCAATTCTGGCAATTTTCTTCTATTAATTCTAGGATAATTTCTTCACCACACTTTTCTCT